AAGGCTTGAAACTAGCTTATCGTTATAAAACCTATTTTAAAATACATCCAACCACAGCAACTTCACCAAAAGCAAACTGCTCCATGACAGATAGATGGATAGACAGATAATTCTGTACATAAAGTACTCATTTGCATGTGAATTAACCCAATTTCTAGTTACAAATAGAGACTTTGCAAGTGCAAAGAGAGCACTAACAAATTGCACCAGCAAAGCTGCCCACAGTTGAAAATATAGGTGTTACATTTTTGCACCTGTTTGGTATTAATATATTTTCCACTCCATTGGAGTTTAAAATGAGGAAGACAAGTCAAACAACATCTATACGATAGCATACTTAACAGATAGAAAGATATATTATCTGCTGTCCATAATCCTGCCTTCTGTATTTGCCATCACTTCACATAACATGCCTGCTCTTCCCAGGTACCAATAATTCCATTATATTTGACTATTAAAAAAATGTTTTCCCCCCTTCCCCCCCATGTTGCTTGTTGGATTTCATATTGGAAAAAGCTTTTCATTTACCCCAAATAAATACCTCTGTTTTTCACTATTTGCTGTAATGTTTGAAGTAAATAAGTTCTTGTCCAGCTACCACGACTGAATTCATTCAGTTGCCAGAACAAAGGCATTGTATGGAGGTTTACAACAGGCTTTTTTCTGTTTTCTTTTAAAGAATCTTCCTTGTTACTGCAGTGTACTTGCTAGCTATGTAAGCAGCTGAATAATGTGCAAATGCTAAAAATGTGCATACTTATTTTACAGAAGAAATGAAAGAGGAATATGACACTATGGGGCCTGAAGCCACAATTCAGACCACTGGAAACAATGGTACAGGTAAGACAAATGGAGCATTTGAACATCCTTTTTGTTCCACATTATTTAGAATTAGCTGGGCATGAGGGGAAGAAGTGACTAAAACATTTATTTCCGTTTTCAGATGAACAATTGAGAAATGTTTAAATAATTGTCCTATTTTTTTCTATGTTTGATTACAAACTTGGTTTTCAATTAAAAATCAGTCTCTCTTTCTCACACGCCCTCCCCCAACATGCCTCAACCCCCCGTTTATTTTAACTGCATCCCGTTGTACGCTAATACAATGTTTTCCCAGTAAGGGTGACTACACTAATGTTTAAAGTCACTGGGCCAAGATACAGTAGTCTTTTAATGAGAGAGACTGTACAAAGAACTTGATAATGAGGATGGGGTGCACCCTTCATGGCAGCCCCAGTTTCGCATGGCACACGGAGTAAGCTACTTCAGAGACTGAAAACATCTCTTCAGAAAGATATACATAAACCTCCAACCTACATACACAGACACCACACACTTTAAATGCATATTTATGAGATATTTTTGTTTGTTTCTTTCTGGCTAATCTTCTTTTCTTGTCACTTTCCACATCTTTCTTTCCCCAATTCTTAGAAATCAATTATTTTCTTGTGGAAAAAGAAAGGCAACAGAAATATTTGATAGGCATCATTTCTGGGCCATCTTTTTTTCACCTGGTAGCTGAGAAAGTCAGCTAAGGGTTCTGTTACTTTTTTTTTTGAGTCCAATAAGTTCTGAAGCTTAACTGTGGCTAGGTGCAGACATTTAAAAACCACAGGGCAGAATCTGTCTAAGTTGCACAGTGTTCTGAAAGTGGTGTGGTTTAGATCAGCAGTAAACAGAACATACATTTGCCCTTTGGTGCGGAGGGAGGCAAATCTTAGGCCAGGTTCTGCCATCTTTATACCAGTTTATATGAGCTTAATTTCTGTTCTGTTATGGGTATACACTGGTTTCTGATTACTTGTACCAGTAAAAGTATAATGTCTGTACCTGGCCTGTGTTTTTTTCCAAGAGTCAGAAGGCCCTATTCTATCCTTGGCATAGCTGATTTCCATGCATTACCCTATGTTCATCTTCTAGTCTGCTATAATTACTATTTCAGATGTTGCACATAGTCCTTCCCATCTACACCCTTAAATTTGTAGATGTTTTGCAGGACAGATAAAGTGCTATGCATCACAGAATATTAGATTCATAGGGTGCTTACAGAAGTGCAGGAAGGCACTTGCAATCACACTGTAACTTTTGCACTTTACACAAAGTGCTAAAAGTTACAGCACAATCAAACATAATAGCCATTTGGCATTATATGGGAGGTGCTCAGAGGCTTCCTGCACTGGCCAAGAACCAGAAGAAGGGTTGTTATTGCACACCTCCCGGCATGCTCTTTAGGCTTCGGGGGCAGCTGGAGACTGCTGAGAGCAGCTGAAGAGGCTAGCCATAGCCAAGCAACCTGCCTATCTGGGGCTGCAGTGGCTGGCCCTGCCTCTGGGCTGTCAGTGATGGCCTCTCATCCCAGCCCTGCTTCCTCCCTCTGGTCAACTGGGAGCCATAACCTGGCCACGGGGAGGGAACGGGGATGGTGTCTCTCCCTGCAATGCCCCCAGAACCAGGGGAGCTGGCAGCCAGCCTGGGCACACTCGGGGGGGGGGGGGGGG